TTCTATCTACATAAGGGGGATTATAGGGTTTTAGATTTTAGGGGCCTAGGTTTTAGGGCAGGAGTGAATCGTCAACCCAGGCTCGTGCATGCAAGCCTGATGCAAACGTTTGGAATTAGCCCAAGAGGTTCGCAATCATTACATGTAGACCTGGCTTTCGGATAATGTAGGAGCAAACGTATGTTTTGGCCCAGGATCCCATTATATATCTGCAGTATGGGGTACCTCAACCTTACCTCAAGATGGTATTGGTAGTTATTTAGGGTTTAGGGTTTAGGGTCACCCTAAATTCCAACGTCTCCATCATTTCCCCCTTGACCTTGGGAAAGGCAGGTCATGAATTCCAAACATTGCTACAGCGCCATCCTGCCCAAAATTACCTTCTCTCAACTAACATGGGGCCCCCGGAGCCCCTAGTCTTTGTAGAGCCCTCTTTGGGGTTCCAGTTTGAGTCGGGCAAGTGGAACTATTCCCTACAGCCCACTTGCAGATAAGTGCGGGGAATGTTTGGCAACACGTTGCAGGCAATGCCATCCTAGGTAATCGCAAAGTTTCCTGGTTACCTAATGATACCTGGCAAAGAACTTGCATGAATCATACGTAATGACAGCAGGGGCGAATGCGCTCAAGTTATGCAGATCCTTGATGATGACAAGCTCCGTCAGGCGCGACTTCCGCAGCTCTGCAGAGCAACCCCCCATCTACCTGGAGGACCCCATCCACTGCAAGGAGGCGGCAGCAATATGCAATGACCGTTGACTGCGCAGAGTGGCGGGACAAATGGGTTTTTCTTCTGGAAGAAACTCATGGTGTTTAGGTAGTTGTGTGCCTGGGCGCCTAGCTCCACAGTTGCACCCCAGATCGACAGCTGGGGCGATGGTGCCGCTAGGTGAACGAAACAGCCGACATGTTGAAGCCCGGGTCCCAGTGTGGGTACAACCTATGAGCCATACAAGAACGCCTGGCGGACAGCAGGTGCGCACCAGTGTCTCAAGCTTAACTAAAGTCAGAAGAAATGCTGCTTGGCTCAATTTCTTGTATCAAGTAGTGTAGGGTTGCACGTATACCCGAAGCTGGCTTATTCCCTGTGTCGAGGGCCTTTGATGTTAGAGGGCTCAAAGGGAAGCTATTTGAGCTTGCTCCGTGCGGTGCTGTTGGCTTGGGTACTGCTCCGTCCCACATGCAGGACACTTTCCAGTTGGTCGTTGCGGTGCAGAGGTGTTTCCAAAAATTGGGATCTGCTCATATACTTCAACAATACTAAGAAACCCTTCTTTCGGTGATTCTTCAAAAAGGAGCCTACTGTTTGAACGCCCCATAGCATTCCTTCTTCAGCAAAGCCCTTCGTCCAGCATCCTCGACCTTTTTTTGCACTGGACCCTATACTGGTTTGCTATTAAGTAACTTAAACTACGTTACTATTATAAGGCAGCCCTATTATTATTATTATTCACTATATGCCCATACAATGGTAACTTAATTTCAGTTCTTTAATAGCAACGCCCTGGTAGTGACAACTCACAAGTGCCAAGGCGACGTCTGCTCACTAGATCACGGAATATGCAGGAGGCAAGTATGTATGTCTGTCTGTGTGTCTGTCTGTCTGTACGTCTGTCTGCATCGTCGCATCTGCGTGTGTACGTATGCATGTCACGTGTCCATATGCATGCATGCAAGCAAATATGTATGTATGTATGTATGTATGTATGTATGTATGTATGTATGTATGAACGTACTCATGCACATTTTCATGTCCGCGCAAGAGTGCTGCTACATGAGCATTTGCTTGAGTTTAAAGTTTGTCATTCTGTGAGTGCTGTTGCCTTTATCGCCGCATTATTCGGTTGCCATAGTTTGAAGTGTTGTCTTTCGCAGAGTAGCATTGCCCTGATTACCCTTGTTGTTGCCGCATCATTATGCGCATAGTGCCTTGGATTTCAAGTGTTGTTTCAGTGAGTACTGTCACCCCTGTTTCACCATGGCTACTAACAACTCCTGCAGTACAGCTGTTGTTCTTTTTGTCAGTTTATGATCGCAGTTTCTGTTCCTTTAAATGTTGTACGCATGTGTTCCGGCCCGGATAGTGCACAGGTCTTGCCAGGTTAGGCTAGGATGTTCAGGATTGGAGCAGTAGTTTTGTGAGCTGTGTGGGTGTTTTCTGATTTCATTGCGAGTGAACATACCCAGGCTTAGGCACGAAAAGCTATCACGTTGTAGATCTGGCTCGTGACTATTCAATGTTAGGGGGTTGGCGGGTTTAATATTAGGGGGAGGGGACTACTCAGCGGGGCTGCTTCTCAGCAACTCCGCGCCCATTGTCGTGCAGGCGTTCCGGACGTTGGATTCGGATCACGATGGCCGGGTGCGCGCAGCAGCTCCTGAGTTTTCTTATGGGCGCAGGATTTCGGTTTCGTAGCAGCATCATGAGGTGTCAAAACGGTATGAATAATTTTCAGACGAAGCCAAGACAAAGTGGTGGTTGGTGGATGCGAAGGAGTCGCAGAAGGACACTTCCATTGCTTATTTCTCGGAATGGTAAGGTGCAATTCGTTTTGGTTGCATATTGTTCAAAGCAAGTCCAGTTTTTCTGATGAAGAAGGGAAGCAATGGTTGTAGCAATGGCATATGATGTGCTTGCAGTGTGGGTCTGAGTAGTGATGACGCTGGCTGCAGGTCCTATCGCCTGCTGATGTTGTTTCTATTATGACGACGACGATGCAGCAACGATGGCAACGACTACTGCTGCTGCTGACGCTACCACCTCAACAACCATTGTCATTACTATTACAACTACATCAAGGACTATTTTGATGATTGCAGGAAATCTCCCTAAAAAGAGGACCCCGATATAACCCCCGTGGGTGGTTCCCACAAAAGTATCGTAACTCGTGGAAAGCCTAATCCCTAGAAAAGTTGTTGTCTGACCCATACGTAACCCAGGCATTCTCTTTGAATGGGCCCTGGCGACCCTAAACCCTCATCCCTAAATCCTAGACCCCAAACTCTAAACCCTAATCCCTAAAACTTAAACCCTAAATCCACCGCAAAGGTACCCCAACTGCAGCCATTTTGTGGAAGCTCCCCGCAGGTTAGCCGAGCAGAGCTTCGACTTTTCGGGAAGAAGCGGGGGCCTCGATGAGAACATGGGGATTGTATAGGTTTCAGGTTCAGGGTTTTAGGGTTTAGGTTTTTAGGGCTTAGGGTTTGGGGTTATCGTTTAGGGCTTATGGTTTAGGGGTTAGGGTTTAGGGTTTAGGATTTAGGATTCAGAGTTTAGAGTTTAGGATTTGAGGGTTTTAGGGCTCAAGGTTTGTCGGAGTTTCATGGGGATGTTGATAGGGCGCAAGAATGGAGAATCAAATGGACAAGATAATGGAACGTGAAACGCACACTGAGATTGTAGAGTAGTTGAGGGAGACTGGATTGAAGAAGGGTTGTGATTTTGTGTTTGGGCGAAAAAAAAATGTATATGTATGTCTATTTACACATATGTAAATTTATATAGATATACATATATACATACACACACATATATATATATACACATATTTGCTTCCCAACTTTGGGGCCGAGCTAAAACCCTGCCATCCGTCGTGCTGGTGGTTACAGGGTTCAGGGATTTAAGCTTCAGAATTTGACATTCAAGGCTTGGTGTTTTGGGGATAAGTTGGGTTTGTGCATTTAAGGTTTAATGTGGCGAGGTTCTCCTTTTCGGTGGGCTTGCTGAGGGTGTCAGTTTGCTGAGGGTCCAGCACACTTCTGCTCCACCTGATGCAAACCCCTGCTGGGCTAGCGTGTCGTGAATGACTTCCTGATGATCGTTTGTAACCTGGGCACTATGGTAGTTTCAACAGCACCTAACTACAACCGCTGCTACTACTTCTCCATCTTCTCTCCTACTTTGGCTCCCACCGCAATTTTAGCCAGTTGAAAATGTCATCAGCTACGATAGCGTCTGACAATTACTTCGGGTATGGCAAGCACCTTAACCCAAATGATATAGGATTGCAACGCCTTCGGTCCAATGGAATCAGAACACCGAACTCCCCGATCCTATACGGTTGATGGTACTGAGTATATGGTTTAGCTTTCAGGGTTTAGGGTTAAGGTTTTAGTGTTAAGAGTTTGGGGTTTAAGGTTGGGGTTGAGGGTTTGGTTTAGGAGTAGAATGACAAAGTCACGACAGCCTTGAATCCTGAGACATGCATCCGGTCAAGAGAACCTCCAATTGAAAGGTTGGTGTCGCTCCTGGAGATCTATAGCGGCTGTAAAGGGGTCCTATCTGTGACTATAGCCCCATGTAAAAGAATTCTCCCTATGTTTTTGTAGTATCTTATAGTGGATTATACTATATCAATAACAAGGCCTAAACCTCTCCCTTCCTCAGGGTTGGCGTCACCCCCGAATCCTGCGATCAGCTTTTTGACGCCCTCGACGTTGAGGGCGTGGGCATCTCGTCCGCGCTTATAGTTGGGGTTTATAGATACTTGATCCCTTTAAAAGGAAATATGGGGTTTATGTAGGCGTATATAAGATATCTAGGGGGTCTAATTATGCGGTTTGGGTTTCCGAAATCTTGCTTCCTGGGGTTGACATGAAGAGGATGATAGCATATGGAGTCTATGTGTGTTTGTATTGGCGCCCGCTATTTGTGGAGACTCCAATGTGGAGAGAGGTTGAGTCCTCAGTGCATCGAATCCTAGCTCACGAGCAGAACCACTTCTACGGAGTGGCCAAGTCTGGATAGGAATTTAGACATCATGCAGGAGTAGTTCTTTGTCTTAAGTTCGCAGACCTCTTAAAGGATCCAAAATAAAGCTCTCTAAAGTGACCCCATGGCTACATTGGGGAACCTAGAGGGTTTTTGGGAGGTTCAATTTTTTGGATCCTTAAGGGGGCTTGGGTTGAAGAGCAGCCAAATTGGCATGATGTGCCAGGCTCCATCAACTTTCTTCAGCCCGGGCCTCGTTTGATGAGGAATGCAAAGCCGGCTTGCGCCTACGCCTTGGATAATCACTGCTTTAACTGGTGCTAAATAAGGAACATTACCGCGTTGTGTCTGAGATTTTGCAGGGATCATTATGGGGAGCCACTCCCAACTCCCTAACAGCACATGGGGGATTGTCAAAATT